CCCAAAAGGGGACACCCTTACTCCTCCCCCCACCCGAGACGGGGCCAGAGGCACCCAAGTCCCGGTGGGAAGAGACCTCACGACTCCCCATCCAAAAAGGCTGTGAGACACGACCTAGCGGCTCTCACCCTTCAAGATCGCCTCCTTAGCCACCGAGTGGATGGCCGCCAGCCCTGACTTCTCCGGGTTACTCAAGATGACCGACCACAAGGCAGTGGAGACATCCCCCAGGCCATTCGAGGAGCTGAAGCGCATGCGCGGGGTGCTCGCATCTCCAAGGACTAGCCGCTCGTCCCTGGGAGGCTCCGTCGGCTCCACCCGCTTGTAGAACTCCATCCTGTCCCGAATCCACTGATTATATAGCTGCTCCGGGGGCTCGTCCATCACCAGCTGCAGGCATGTGGCCTTGTCCTTGTGCCACCCCGTGATCTGGAGCAGCCTGGTCCCCCCGCGGCTCGCCCTCCAGAAGCCCTTGCAGAACCTGCACATGTAGCCCCCGGTGGTCTTGAACTTCTCCTTGCCCACCACTTCCCATGCGCTGATGCTGGGCAGGACCAGGCCGCACTCCACGGAGGCCCAAAACACGTGCTTCGTCTCCTTCGGGAAGTGCTTGTTGCTGTACTTCCGGCCCGCGACCGCCGTGACCGTGGACGTGGTGATCGGAGGGTACCGCCTGGTGCCCTGGTCCGGCGCGTGCGGAGCGTGGTGTCCGCTCCCCCCAGAATCTTGGCCTTGGGGTCCGATTCCTTGGCCGCTCCTCCCCCGGGGCCAGAGGCATTCAAGGGGGGGAGCAACCCAGCTGCCTGATAAGGTCCTGGGAGTAGCCCAGCCGGTCGTACAGGGCCCCCTCCTGCGGGACCTGCTCCACCCAGTCATGGACCACGTTGCAACGCCAGTTGACCTTGACCTCCACCATGGAGGACTTACTCAGGCCCGACACCAGCTTGGTGTACACCGAGTCGAAAGCCCTCAACGATGACAGCGGAAGGGTGATTCGCTCGTCACAGACCGCCCTGAAACGCAGCGCCTCCTTGCTGTCGTGGACGGGGGCCACTGGGATCTCCATCACCGGCAATGGGCAGTTAACGATGAAATTCTTGGCCGCCAGAAACGTCCCCATCTCCTTGAAGATGTAGCTCCATTCCGCCTTGCTGCGCGGCTTGGGGATTCCCAGGCTCTCCAGGAAGGGGACCGCCTCCTTCCTCATCTGGAGGATGTTGCCCATCCACTTATCTGAGGCCGAGCCCTCCGCATTGCTGCGTCTTCACGATCAGCGGGAAGGTGGTCCAGGCCGAGTAGATGTACTTGAAGGTGAACCTGTGGGCGTACACCCCCGTCAAGCTCGGCAGGTCCCACGTTCTCGTCTGCCTTGTCCAAAACACTCCATCGCCCTTCGCCCAGAAGATCCCCACCACCTGCTCCGGCACCGGGCGCTCACCCCGGTTCACCTGCGCTCGGATCTCCAAGGCCGAGTAGATGACAGGGTCGATGTGGTCCTGCTCGCACGTGAGTGGGTGGGTCCTGCGCTCCAGGGCCAGAAGCTCCTCCGGAGTGAGCTTGAATTGCTGGTCCGCGCCCTTGGGGATCTCACCGCTTGAGTGCTTCTTCCAGATCCCCCCAAACATCCGTAGCTCACCTTGGTGCCTCTTCATCGCCCAGAGGAGCAGGGACAGC